TCCCCACTCCTCTCTTCCTCTTCCTACCCTCTCTCCTTCTCTTTCTCTTCCTTCCACCCTCCTCTCCTTTCCTCTTTCTTCTACCTCTCCCCACTCCTCTCTTCCTCTTCCTACCCTCTCTCCTTCTCTTTCTCTTCCTTCCACCCTCCTCTCCTTTCCTCTTTCTTCTACCTCTCCCCACTCCTCTCTTCCTCTTCCTACCCTCTCTCCTTCTCTTTCTCTCCCTTCCACCCTCCTCTTCTTTCCTCTTTCTTCTACCTCTCCCCACTCCTCTCTTCCTCTTCCTACCCTCTCTCCTTCTCTTTCTCTCCCTTCCACCCTCCTCTTCTTTCCTCTTTCTTCTACCTCTCCCCACTCCTCTCTTCCTCTTCCTACCCTCTCTCCTTCTCTTTCTCTCCCTTCCACCCTCCTCTTCTTTCCTCTTTCTTCTTCCTCCCTTCTCTCTTTCTTTCTTTTTCTGTGTTTGTGGTTGTCTTCTTTTCAGCTCTCAATTTATATTTTCTTGGGATGGCATTCCCGCAAACCCAATTATGGTTTGATATCATTTCTTATTCCCTTTCCTTCGCTAATCTATCCTAACTATATTGTCCCCTTTATACCTCACTCTGGAACATATACTTGTATATTAGGACTTTCTTGATAGAAAAGTCAGGTTTTGAGGGGCGAATCTCCCATTGCTTGCTTGGAGGGTATAAACTGGGCGATTGGGAAGTGGGCTCCTTGTCCTGGAACCCCCTGGGAGCTTTTGGGAAAGGGGAGGAGAAACCATTCTCAATCAATAGCTGGGAAGAAGTCGGGACCTAGCTCTGATTTGGGGGTGGGGAGGGGGTTCCCCCAAGCCACATGCCCCTCTTGGACCAGCTGGCCAGAATGCCCCTCTCGGACTCCATGGCCCGTGAGAAGAGCCGCCAAACTCTCCCCATTTCACCCTCCTGAGAGGGCTGTTGACCTCAGGCATGAAGCTGAACTGGGGGAGGGCAAGGGTACCCAAACAGCCCCTCCCTTCCCCCGGGACTTCTCCATGCCTGGCGCAAGGACCCAATTGGCTGTTCTAGCTAATCCCCAGAGCCGAAAGGCAGGGTGTCTGAACACAAAAGAGGGCTTTGGGTAGTTGGGAGACCCTCTCTAGACCCTAAAACAGCCACAGTCGGGGGGTGGGGGTGGACCTTTTGCCCCCAACCCAGGTGAGCTCTGATTGGATGGGCATTTTGCTGGGTTAAGAATCAAGCGTATCATACAACACGGTTTGCCCTCCTAACTTCACCCCACGTATAAAAGCTGTCATTTGTCTCTCTCGCTGCCCCAGAAATCATTCTTTTTGTTTTGCAAAATCACAGTTGCCCATAGTGTCACTTAGGAGTCATGCACACACACTAGTGACTCCCAACACTTGATTCACCCCAAACCTCGATTTCCCCGTCCCAGGATGCTCCCTCGGTCCAGTTCGGTGGTCTCCTTTTTTATTGGGGGGGTCTCTGGGCTTTGCTTAAAGCTTTAGGGCTTTAAATGGTGGTAACACAAAGCCTTTTTGTCCTCTTCTCCTGCAGGGTTTTGTCAAAGATGTACACGAAGATTCGGTCACGATCTCCTTCGAGAACAAGTGAGTGTTTGGCCACCCAGCGGGGGGGTCTCTCTGTCCCAGAAAGTGGGGGGGGGAGAGAGCTGGCAGGGGCGGACCCCCCTCTCTGTTCAGTGGGCAGCTTTGGGGCAGGGGGATTCAGAAGACCGCTAAGCGTTCAAGTATCCCTCCGCTTTTAAAAAGAATTTGTGTTCCTGGCACTTTTCCTCCGGCCGGCTCCATAAATCCTGGAGTCCGTCGTTTGATTCGCTGTACGGCCAGAGCCCAGCCGTGGTCTCGGGAAGTTGCTACGCTATTGTTAAACCACGATAGTGGGATATTTGCTTTGGCACTGTGGGCGCTATGTTTTAATTCAACCCAGGTTTTCCAGCAGGTCCTTCCCCTGCCCTGGTCCTCTTCACATTCATGTCAACCGGTTGGCCTTCCCCAAATGTTGAGCGCGGAAGATTTCTCTTTTCTTCCCTTCCGCACTCAACCTTTGGAAAAGGCCAAGCGGTTTACGCTGGAAAACTTCCCTGCTTGTTGACAAATGCCCGGCTGCCGGAAGCCTCTTCGCGCCCCCCCCCCCCCGGCTCCTTTCATCTTGCTTTCGCTTTTCAATTTTATGTTACGGCTTCTAGGCGGCTTCCATCGGTTCGCCTCGTTTTATTTATCAAGTCGCTGCCCGTCTCACCAAAGGCGACTGGGTGGCACAACAGCCAGCGGGGTGATAAACCCAGCGATATTAAAAAAAAACATAAAAAGTCACCCTGGAAGGAAATATTAATGAAAAGAAATATTATAAAAACCCATCATTGCGGGCAGATATACATCGTTTTATTTTAATAGTGGGTATTGAACAGACGACATTAGTGATGGATAATAATGATGATGATGATGTGGTATATTTCATATGTATCAAATGATATTTGTG